CTCGTTATTCCCAATAATCTGGCTCGGTAACAAATTGCTTCTTCTAAAGCGCGTCCCGTTCGTTCCGCTCGCACCAATCCAATTAGTTCTCCGGGTAAAAAAACCTGAGACATTCCATCTTCTGAAACCAAAACTTTGGATGTTATTTGACGGACAATAATTTCTATATGCCGATCATGAATTTGCACCCCCTGAGATCGATAAACCTGTTGGATCTCATTAACCAAAGATATACGACTTTGCACTAGAGTGAGTTTCGCACCAATCAAAAATCCCCAAGGAATTCCAAGAATTTTTGTTATACACCCGTTCCAATCCTGAACTCTCTCTTCTAGGTTTGGGGAGATTGAATTAATCGAACGCACTTCTAAGACTTGTTCCACTTTGGGAAGACCTTGCGTTATATCACTAGATCTTGCTTTTTCATATAGAAATGTAATTAATGTATCTCCTTCATATAGGATTTCTCCATAATGGCCATGAACAGTTGCTCCCGGAGTGGCCAAAAAAGGTTGAGCAGATCTTAGTACTACCGAATCAAGGTGAACAATTATAACTTGACCCGATTTGAGTTCTGGTCCTTTTTTGGCTATCGATACATTTTCACAAAGAAACTCTCCTAGGCTAATTCGTGTCAAAAAGAATTCACAAAAATTCTGATTATATTTAGGATGTAGAAAATACCAATTCAAACGGAATGGATTCAAAATGCGGCTAGCACATGGATCGGGAATCCCAATTTGGCGGTTTTCATCGATTAAATAATATTGAATTACTTGAAAAGCCTTGTTTAAATTTTCAACTTTCAAAAATTGAGTTACTGAGACTTTATTATGAGTTATTAAATGGTAAAATGAAACCGAAGTTGAAATTGGAAGAGTTGTTCCTAAAGGGCCCAACAAAGAATTACTAATTGGAATTAGAGAATCTATTTTTATTGGTTTTTTGATTCCATTGTAATCTTTTTCATTTTGAAATGGATTGATTTGAAAACAATTAACTGATGACAAAATTATCAAAGATTGGCATTCCTTATTTCTATTCAATAACGTAATACCAGTTCCTTGATTTTGTTTAGGTTGAAGTGATTGTTGAATCTTTTCCTTAGAATAACTGGAAAAAAATGGATTCCTAGTGGTCCGAGCTGACCCCTTCGCGGAAATCCATTCAGAACCTGACGAATCATTCCTTTTTCTGCTCATATATGAAATGTCGGATTTGACTAAGTTTATTTTTAGGAAATCCTGAATCAGACCATTTGTACTTACTTCAATAACCGAAGCACAGGCCTCTTCGCCCGAGGAATTCTTTTTGTCTTGTTTCCAATTCAATACTAATGAAGTACGAACTAATTGAATACTTGTCTTAGAGATTACCCGAATTCGGTTACTATTTGCATAGAGAAGCGAATTCATAACTCGAATTTTCAGATTATCCTTTTCTTGCAATAGATCCTGGTAAAAAAGTGTTGCTAGATTTATACGGTCCGCTTTTTCATATAAGATTACTGGGCGAACAAAAACAAAAGACTTTTTCTTACTCGGTGTAATCCATTTGACATAGATCCGGGTTTTCACTTTTGTGGATTTCTTAGCAATGCTTTTTAGCGTTCGGGGTAGTACCCCCATCCCACTGTGTTTGGATATCTTATCGGCTTTTCCCGAAAAATGGATATCGCCAGAAAAGATTTTGAGTTCCCATTTTTTTTTTTTTTTCTGCACTTGAACCAATCCACCTACCTGACTTCTTATATTAAAAGTGATTTGTGTATCTATTCCGATGATACTATTGTTCCGTACCATTAAGGAGGAGGATTCGGGTAAACGATACACTTCTTCGGGAATGAAAAAAAAGCGATTGACTTTAATTTTGCATTTTGACTTTAATTCGTTGACTCCCCGATGCTCAATTAAAATCAAATCATCTTCTTTTTTGCCAATAGAATCCCTGTCTATAGCTCCATAGTTAATAATTCCGGAACTCTTGCTTCGATATTGGGGGTCATTGAAATAAGCAAAAATACTCTTTCTAGGTAAAATACCATTTAGGGGTATTTCAATTGAGAGGCCAGAGTTGGTCATTATTTCTTTATCTCGCTGTTTAATGGATTGAAATGAAATGATGAATCGATTTTTTCTCCTTTTTGCTAATAAATCTGCATTTTCTTGAAGAATAGCAGGATCTGTGCGATTACAATAAGGAGTACCTAGGATTCGATTCAGTTTTAAATAATCCGGAATCGCACTTTTGTTTTTCTCCAAAAGATTTGAACTAATGAATTGATATTGAACTTGATCATTATTTGCTGATGGACTAGAAATAGATCTTTTTTCTACATAAAGAGAATGGGTGCTCATTTGATCTTGATCTTTATGTATTGAAAAGGTGCCTCTGCTGGATTTGCACGAGCTTCCCGCTAATATCCATAAATGGCTTGTTTTTGGTAATAGATGGACATTACTATACGTAAATTCAGGTGCATGGTATACATCGGTACTCCAGTGCATTTCTCCTTCAGATTCGGAATAAATATGTTTTCGCACCTTCTCTTTCAAAGTCAAAGTGTATGCTCCTGCGCAAATTTCAGCAATCACTTGTTCTGATTTTACATATTGATCATTTTGAACAAAAAGCAAACTTTTTGGTGGAATACTCACGTTCTGTAGAGTATATTGACTCTCAATCGTTACATCCAAGTCGATATAACATAGAAAAGCCGGATGCCCATGACGTGTACGTGTGGGATGAACCAAGTCTTCATTAAATTTAATTTTTCCATTAGAAGGGGCTCGTACATGGTTGGCGATACCCCCTGTAAATACTCCACCAGTATGAAACGTTCTTAATGTTAGTTGAGTGCCCGGCTCTCCAATGGATTGACCCGCAATAATACCGACAGCTTCTCCCAATTCCACCAGGTCGCCATGAGTAGGACTGCGGCCATAACATAATCGACAGATCCAAGACGTACTCTTACAAGTAAAAGGAGTTCGAATAGATATTGGTTGCAATCCAAAGTTTATGAATCCATCGACAAGTCCAATCCCAATATCTTGATTTCGAATAGCAATGCATCGTGAACCAATATAGAGATTGTTTGCTAATACACGACCAATTAAGGTTTGGATAAAAAAACTTTCCGGATTAATCTTATTTCGAGGACTCACAGGGATACCTCGGGTGCTCCCGCAATCTGTTCTACGTACAACCATGTGTTGAACTACTTCAACAAGTCTGCGCGTAAGATATCCAGCATCTGCTGTTCGTACCGCGGTATCCACAACTCCCTTTCGGGCTCCATAGCAAGAAATGATATATTCTGTTAAGGACAGCCCTTCGCGTAAATTGCTTGGAATAGGTAAATCAATCATTTGCCCTTGTGGATCGGACATTAATCCTCTCATACCTACCAATTGGTGTACTTGAGATGTATTTCCTCTCGCTCCCGAAAAAGACATTATATGGACTGAATTCAAAGGGTCCGTCATCCTAAAATTAGGATGCATTTCGGATCGCAAATATTCACTTGCAGCATACCATACCTCAATGGATTGTCGTAATTTTTCTATTGCGTGTACATTTCCATAACGATAGTAGTTTTCAAAAATCAAATTTTGTTGTTCAATATCTTGGACTAAGCACCCCTTAGAAGGTAGTGTTAAAAGATCATCAATTCCTAATGAAATGGATGTAGCAGTGGCTTGCTGGAAACCTACAGTCTTTACTTGATCCAGGATGTTTGATGTATATGCCATTCCGAAGTGATCTATTAATCCGCTAAGAATTCGTTTAATGGCAGTTCCATCTATCACGTTATTGTGAAAGGCCAAATGGGCCTGGGCCCGTTCGGGCATAAGTACCTCCATATTCTGCTGAGTAGGGTTGGACAATAGATTTGAGTTAATGATTGGAAAACTTCCTTTTCGCGATTTGAATTCATATAGAAATTCAGGAATTATGGTTCGAGTGGAAGCGACTAGCTCTGACTTTGCTCCGACAGTGTAGTATAGAATTACTTAGTTTAGATCCCTATGATTAAAACCATCGGAGCAGGCTTGACAAACTTGATCAAAGCTTTGTATAGCTTCTTCCATTTCTCGATAAAGAGAAATATGACCAACAGTGGTTCGAATGTATATACAAAGAATTTCTTTCTTTATACTTCGTACTATTAGATAGTGTTCATAAATCTCATGATAGGTCCCCAAAGATTCATAATGAATTTCGATGGGGGTTTCTCTTGAAGTAATAAGGCCTTGATCTAGTTGCCAACGGAGCCATAAAGGACTATCGAAATGGATTTTTTTCTGCAAATAAGCTCCAATTGCATCATAAAAATTACTAAAAAAGGGTTCTTTTGTATACTTCTCACTCTTCTCGTCAATTCTGTCATTTTGAGAATTTCTTCGATTCCATGGATGATTATACCTAGTTGCATAAATACCTCGACGATTTCCCCTTGTTAACACATAGAGCCCCATAAGCATATCTTGAGTTGGTACACAAATGGGATCTCCAATAGCTGGAGACCGGAGATTCCTAGGAGCAAACATAAGTAAACAAGCCTCCGTTTGCGCCTCCAACGATAAAGGTACATGAACGGCCATTTGATCCCCATCAAAGTCTGCATTGAATCCCTTACAAACTAATGGATGTAAACAAATAGCACGCCCTTCCATTAAAATGGGTTGAAATGCCTGTATACCTAATCTATGCAGAGTAGGTGCCCTATTCAGCAATACAGGATGCCACTGGATAACTTCCTCAAGTATTTCCCATACAAAGGGCTTGGGCTCTGTTTCCCGAATTTGACTCTTAGCAATGGCTGTGTTCGAAGCAAGATGTTTTCTAATTAGACCACGAATTACAAATGTCTGGAAAAGCTCGATTGCTATTTCGCGAGGCAATCCGCATTGATGTAATGAAAGCGAGGGACTTACAACAATGACGGACCGCGCCGAATAATCAACTCGTTTGCCAAGCATAGTCTCGCGAAATCTTCCCTCTTTCCCTTCAATTATATCTGAAAACGACTTGTAAACTTGATTCTGTCCGTCCCTCATGGGTTCTCCGCCTAGGCCATTATCAAGAAGTGTATCCACGGCCTCTTGTACCAAAGATTCCTGACGCATTACTAAGTCCCCTGGACTAGATCTACTTGTTAATAGAGTCTTAAGATTATTATTCCGAAAGATAACTCGTCTATAGAGTTCATTAATATCGGAACTCATTAGTTTACCCCCATCCATCTGAATCATCGGTCTGAGCTCGGGAGGAAGAACTGGTAATAGACATAAAATCATCCATTCGGGTTCTATATTTGTTCGAATAAAATGTTTAGCTAATGCCATGCGTTTAACCAAAAAATCCTTTCTTCTCCCAATTTGTTGATCTTCCCATTCATCCCCCGTAGGACCTTCTTCCGCTAATACTTCCCATTCTAGCGATGACAAATCTATAATAATTCGCAAATCCAGATCGGCTAATTGTTCGCGAATAGCGCCGGCTCCTGTAGCAATTTCTCTATTCCGAAATGTATGGAAGCCTTGGGTAGTAAAAAACAGTGGAATACTATAATCCCACGAGTCCCACGATAGCATTTCTTCATATTGGACTGAACCTCGTAAGCATAAGAACGTTGGTTTTTTAGTTAAGGGTCTAGCAAAAGCCAAATCGCCGTAGACTATGCCTTCTAATTCTTTAAGAGTTATATCTAAAAGATTCCCGATATAACTAGGGCGCCGTTTCAAATACCACACATGAGTTACTGGGCATGCCAATTGGATGTAGCCCATTTGATATCTTCGTATCCGAGAATCAACAAATTCGACTCCACATTCTTGACAAAATTTTTGATCTTCTTTTTCGGGAGGATTTCCACAAGCGCAAATTCCGCTTTTTATAGGTCCAAAAATTCTTTCACAAAATAATCCATCTTTTTCAGGTTTTTTGGTTTGGTAATGCAAACTATAGTAGTTTTTGACTTCTCCAACAATCTCTCCATTAGGAAGAATTTTTTTGGCCCAAGCAAGGATTTGTTGAGGCGAAACTAATCCAATTCTGAGTTGTTGATGTTTATACAAATCGATCATAGATAGAAGAAAAATTATGATTCATTCCGATTAAGCTTCCTTCCTATTCATCTGGAAGTTCTTCTCAGATATAAGGAAATGGTTCAGTTCCAGAGCCAAAGATCGTAGTTCTCGAACGAGCAATCGAAAAGATTCTGGAGCATCCTCCGGTTTGGGGATTGTTCCTCCAATCATTATAGTCCTAATCACTTCTTGGCGCGCTCTCATATGATCAGATTTATAAGTGAGCATCTCTTGTAAAATATGAGAAACACCAAATCCTTCTAGAGCCCAAACTTCCATTTCTCCTACCCGTTGCCCCCCGTTCTTGGACCTTCCTCTAAGGGGTTGTTGAGTAACAAGTGCATAAGGTCCAGTGGAACGTGCGTGTATTTTATCATCAACTTGATGAATTAATTTCAAGATATAAGGCTTTCCTATTAGAACAGGCTGTTCAAAAGGATCTCCTGTTCTGCCATCAAATAATTTACTTTTTCCCGGAAATTCGGGTTCAAATACCCATGGATTGGCTGTTTCTTTGCCGGCTTTGTATAATTCAGAAAACACGAGTTTTCTAGAGGCCTCTTGTTCATATCTCTCATCAAAAGGTGCTATTCGATAATGTCTATCTAGCAAACCGCCCGCTAACCCAAGCGAACATTCAAATATCTGTCCTACATTCATTCGTGAAGGTACTCCTAATGGGTTGAAGACCATATCAACAGGTCTTCCATCTTGCAAATATGGCATATCGTGTCTAGGCAAAATTTTTGAAATGATACCTTTATTTCCATGTCTTCCAGCTACTTTATCACCTACTTTGATATCACGTTTCTGCAAAATAAATACATGAATTGTTTCGGAATTAGAACAGTCGGGATTATAACCGGAAGCTGCCCTTTTCTGGATCCATCTCACATCAACAACTTGGCCTCTACCCCCTCTAGGTAATTTTAGACAAGTTTCCTTTGAAGTAGATACCTGCATGCCAAAGACGGCGTCTATTAATCGATCGACCCGGGCATCCCAGGAGTCTTCTTGAGGTGTTAATTTACCTACTAAAATATCGCCCGTCTCTACCCAAGATCCCAGCATGACAATTCCATTTTTGTCTAAATTTCGGAGTAAGTGGGCTTCTAGATGAGGTATTTCATTAGTGATCCTTTCCGGGGGTTCACTTGTGACATCAGTCTGAATTTCATATTTTTGTATGTGAAAAGAAGTAAAAATATCTTCATATACCAGACGCTCACTAATAAGGACCGCATCCTCAAAATTGTAACCTTCCCATGGCATATAAGCTAATAATACGTTTTTGCCCAAAGCAAGTTCCCCACCAACTATGGAAGCCCCGTCTGCTAAAACTTGCCCCTTTTTAAGGCATTGACCCCGTTGAACCTGGGTTTTTTGATGCATAAAAGTATTTTTGTTCGAACGTTGATAGATAACTAATGGAATCTTTATAGTATCCCCATTGCCCACTAAAATGATCTTGTCACTATCCGTATAAATAATTTTTCCCTCTTGGTTGGCTATAGCAGGAACCCCAGAATCTAGAGCCACTTGGCGTTCCAATCCAGTTCCAACAATGCACTTCTCGGACCGAGAAAGCGCAACTGCTTGGCGTTGCATATTAGAACTCATTAAAGCCCGATTCCCATCATTATGCTCAATAAAAGGAATGAGTGAAGCTCCTATAGAAAAATATTGGAAGGGAAAAATACTTCGAAAATGAACCTGGTCCCATGCAATAGTCAGAAATTCTTGACGATATCGAGCGGGAACAACCTGTTCTTCCTGAATACCACGATTCAGCGCCAAAGAATTTCCTGCCGCTACCATATAGTATTCATCTCTATTCGGCGATAAATAGAGTATCCGTCCTTTTTTTGCTCCCTCAGAGATTTTATAAAAGGGGCTTTCTAAAGACCCCCAATGACCAATCTTGGCATGAAGTGCTAAGGAGCCAATAAGTCCAACATTGATTCCTTCCGATGTATCAATTGGGCAAATGCGCCCATAGTAACTAGGATTTATATCTCGTATCGAAAAACTAGCAGTTCTCGCTGTCAATCCTCCGGGTCCCAAATAACTGAATTTTCTCCCATGAAAAATTTGTGTCAATGGATTCGTTCCATCAAAAACTTGAGATAATGGGTGTAATCCGAAAAAAGATTCAAAAATGGTTGTTAATGGAGCTGAAGTTACCAAAATTTTAGGGGTCGGGATCCATTTAGGACAAATTCCTTCAAATATAGTTTCTTCAACCACCTCTCCTAAACGAATTAGGGCCAACCCGAATTGATCTTGTAATAGATCAGCTACAGAACGAATACGTTTATTTTTTAAATGATTCATATCGTCAAGTGTACCCATTCCAAATTTCATTTCAATCAAAAGATCGGCCGCTGACAATATATCTCGGGGTAACAAAAATGTATTGTTAGTGGGTATATCAAGATTCAATCTGCGGTTCATATTTAGTCGACCAATCTTTCCTAATTCACATTTTTGGTGAAAGAATTTCTTTTGTAATTCCGTACATAAGGATTCAGAAAAAACAGGATCTCCGCCTACACAAGTAAATTGTTGATAAAATTCCAAAATGGCATTTTCTTGTGACCCAATCGTTTTTTTCTCCTTAGCGTTCAGGAAAGACAAGAAAATCTCAGGGTAAGAAACATTTTCTAGAATTTCTCGTAGATTCAAACCCATAGCTGATAATAACAATAGAATAGAGATTTTCTGTTTCCTACTCACACGAGCCCATATCCTGGCTTTTCTATCAATCTCTAATTTGATTCTTCCTCCCCAATCTGATATTATGGTTCCCGTATAGACCCAATTCTCGTTATGGTCTAATTCTGTCTGGTAATAGATACCGGGGCTTTGCAATATTTGATTGATCACAATTCTGTAGATTCCATTTACTATAAATGTTCCGAGGGAATTCATTAAAGGAATAGTTCCAATCAAAATTGTTTGCTTTCGCATATTCCTATTTGTTTTCCAAATTAATCCTGCGCATACATAGAATTCCGAGGAATAGGTGAGTGATTCATATACAGCATTTCTTTCGTTTATCAATGGTTCTACTAATTGATAGTTTTCCACAAATAAGTGAAATTCAATTTCTTGATCTGTATCTTCAATTATTGGAAACTTATAAAGCTCTTCTCTTAAGCCCTCATCAATGAACCGACAAAATCCTTCAAATTGGATCTCATTAAATCCAGGTATTGTAGACATTCCCTCATTTCTATCCAACATAATTTTTAATTTCCCCTTTAGTGAAAAGCTAAAATTCGATTTTTGGATCGGTCTTCATCCAATGCAATTCTATGGATCGATCTAGCAATGATAGAATTTCTATTCTGTTTACAGAATTACATAAAATTTTCTTACAGAATCACATAAAATTTTCTCTAACTACAGATAAGAATAAGTAAGCACTGTATGAAATACATATGAACAGAGGAATAAAGAGAATTGGATACGCAAATTGGAATGGAATTTGTAAGCGATCCAACTGGAAAAAAATTCAGATAGATAGTCTACTTAACTTTGACTTAGGGAGTTTGGTATAGAATAGCGCAACAACACAACAAGAAGTGATTCCATTTCTATCATTATTATGATATTTCATATTTCAATACGATTGGATATCAGTAAAATAAAGAACAGAGTTTTGAACTTGATATATTCAACGAAATATAGACCAAACAAATAATGAGAAATAAAATCATCAAAGAGAAGATAGAATATGCCTTTCCTATTTTGAGTGCTTTTTGTATGGAATAGAGTTCCTATTTCTTCTAATTCATATATATAGAATATAGAGATTGAACGATTGAAATACATAACAAAATAAGGCTTATTAAACATAGACGGATAAAATAGAAGTCGAACTAGTAACTATCGCCTCTTTCCAGTTCTATTCGGAACAGCACATCTTGTGCGCTATCCAAATTTAGATTTTGTCTATTTTCCTTTTCATTGACTCGTTTTCATTAACTAAACTAGTAGAAAATCTTCTATCTAACTCATTGCCCGCTAATAGATTCGATTAGGTATCTGTCGAAGCATTTATGTTCGGGGGTTGACATAGACTCATCATTGTTGTTATAATTGAAATTAATAAATATTTTTTATTGTTGAAAAGCATGAATGGATTCAGATTAATTAGATATCTATATCTAGTTCAATTTACTTTTCGCATTATGGAAATACAATTGCGAATTCAAATTCAAGACTCCTTCCTGAATTTGAATTCATAGAAAAGAATTATTGGTTCAAACTTTCCCTAGTCCTTTTATGACTTCCGTCACATTTAGTTTTTCATTTCACTAGAAAAGGGAAAAATTGAGATAGTACGTCTTTTGATATATTATACAAAATGAATTGAAGTGATAGATCCAATCCAACTAAAAAGGAAGGGTTGATTTGCTTGATTTAAGCAAACGAAAACGAATGGGATTTCAAAAAAAAAAGCAGGGCTTTTTTGCATGTTTTTTAGATTGTGTTGGCGGCATGGCCGAGTGGTAAGGCGGTGGACTGCAAATCCTTTTTCCCCAGTTCAAATCTGGGTGTCGCCTGATCAACAAGAGATGCCAAATACCTTAATTTCTTTTTGCTCATCTAACTTGTTCACTTTGTTCCCAACAGACGCACGCGAAAGAAAAGAACTCTTGCTACTTCTTTGACTCAAAACATTATGGTAGTTCGGTTCGATTCTCTAACGTGCTCCAATTTCTTGAATTTCGTGCATCTAAGATTCAAGGAAAGTTTATAGTAGTAATAAAAAGAATAAAGAATCAAGAATTGATACATCTTGATATACTTTTTGATAGATTTTGCTTGAGAGAAGAGTCCTTACAATACTAATGGATTGTCTACTGACTCGATTTTTATTCAAGTGGATAGGAATAGGAATACAGGAAAGCTATTAGTCGTTAGGGAAGGGTTGGAGGATACTTTGGGTAGCAATTCAATCCATCTAATGCTGCTTGAATGGAGCATTTTGCATATTTTACATGTCAAATTTTCAAATATAGAAAAAAGAGAGTCAAAAGAATTCTTTATTTTAGTTTAGGCTTTATTTTAGTTTAGGTAAAACCCAATTTTTATCCTTTTGACTTAATGAAGAAGAAAAAAAGAAAGAGTAGATCTTATTTACATAGACTGTAAATGTAAATTCATTTTTTTGGAGACGTCTAAATCAAGGGTTTACCTACGTATTTTGCTTGGGCTTAATCTTTTATGATTCTAATAGCAATGATCTAAGTGGGTTTTTCTTATACTTAAAATACTTAAAATGGAATTCATTTGAATTGTCTTTTTGGACTGTTTCAGCAAGCAAAAGTATTGGACAAAGCTCGGTTTTTTATTTTTTTTGACTCTCTTCCCGATTATCTGCTATTATTATTGAATAATAATGGAAAAATTTCTTCATAGAGCTAGGGGACATAATTTACATGGATATAGTAAGTCTCGCTTGGGCTGCTTTAATGGTAGTCTTTACATTTTCCCTTTCTCTCGTAGTATGGGGAAGAAGTGGACTCTAGAGGTACTACTTCTTAATTGAGTTGATAAAGAAAACTGTAAGAATTTCATTTAGATCGTTCTGCAAACAAAGACTTTTTTTATTTGACTATTTCAATTTGAAATCGATTGGTATGTTATGGGTATTACATAGAATTAGAATGACTATCTAGATTACGTCTTCTGTAGCTAGCGTTATACAGGATAACTTTAGCCACGCAAAGAAAAAAAGCGATAGAATAGTAGAAAGAACTATAATTCTCTAGTTCTTTCTACTATTCTGCTCTTATACAAAAGACTACGGATTCGAGTCCACTCATTTCATCTAAGCTGCGAAATTGGACTCCATTTGCATTTTTTTTGCACTAATTTCATTTCTGAAAACTAAGAAGTCCAATTTGATTCAAATTAATCACTTTGACTAACAGTTTTTACATATATTATAAGCAAAAAAGCAGTAGGAACTAGAATGAAGAGTGTAGTAGCAATAAATGCGAGAATATTTACTTCCATAGGTCGTTTCGTTTTTCTTTACTTCGCAATAACTTCGGGATTTAATCCCATAGAGATGATCAATCTTTCCCCTCGAAATTCAATGGGTAGATTTCAGTTCGATGATATCGAATTATAGGATTCATATAATTAACAATATACGAGTTCTTCATCTTCAAGAGATTCGTCGTCGAAAATGGAATAGTATAACACAGAAAGATCGTTTATCCATCGCAAATTCCAAAAACGGATTCTTTCTTGACCCAATCGAGAAGTTTTTTCTTTTCGTTCTTATTCTTTTTGCCATTCTTTCTTTTCTTTCTTTTCTATAAAGAAAAAGAATTGACTTGTTTGTCCAATTATCGGACAAAGCACTATCTAAATCTAACCGCCCTTACACTTATATTGGTTACAAACAAACACAAACAAAGAATAGAAGCGAAATAGCCAAATCGAGAAAAAAGCATTAAGTTCGAAAATCCTTTTTACTGATACGAATCTAATCTTATTGGATTGGAAAAAAAATGTGATAGAGAAAGAGAAGTCTCCAGGAAAACGTAAAAAAAAAAAAAAAAGAAAAGAGACTTGTCAGATTAAATAAAAGGATTCTATTAAAATTAAAGCAAACAAATGCATTTTGTATCGTACAACTACAAATTCCTTTTGTCTATGTCTTAGAGCGAAAGATAGGGTTCTCTATTCAATTTCATTCATTACATAGACGGATCGAGAGGAATAAACAAGCCGAATTCAGTACGATATTTCTTAAAATCCAATCCTGAATATGAATACGAAGCTTTTGGAATTCAATTATCCAATTTGTCGCGTCTCCTCTTTCATAAAACTTAAAAAATGGCTGGACGGATTGATGTATTATTATCCGTCGGGACTGACGGGGCTCGAACCCGCAGCTTCCGCCTTGACAGGGCGGTGCTCTGACCAATTGAACTACAATCCCCGATAAATGACCACTTCAACTCCAATCCCCATAAATGAAATAAAGTGTCTAACATACAGATTCTTAATGGCTTTCATTTAACCCCTTTGCTTTCTATTTCAATTCGAAATTGAAATGGCCGCGTTGGAAGGGGGGCAGGTACTATATTGATTGATATTTCTATGGATATCCGCTTTATAAGCGGAGGGCCCGTCCCGCCCGGATTAGATTTATAGTCATCTCATCTTTTTGTTTATTTCAAATACAAATACAAATCGATTGCTACTAACTGGTTCACTGAAAAACCGAGTCTTTTTCTCTTTCATTTTTCTTTCTTTTTCTTAGATTTTATACTTCTAAATCCGGATTGGAATCTAGATTATTAGTAAGATCTAAATCTGAATTTGTACGAAAAAATAAAGAGCAAATCAAATAAAGAAAAAGAAATAACAAGTAGAGCCGAAATTTGGACTTTTTTCTGTATTTTACTCTTTTCTTTTCTGTATCAGGCATTGATTTTGATAGAATCAAGGGGTTCTATCATTTCAGGATCCGTGACTTATTGGGTCGAGCTGGATTTGAACCAGCGTAGACATATTGCCAACGAATTTACAGTCCGTCCCCATTAACCGCTCGGGCATCGACCCAGGAAGAATCCATTTCAGCTTTATTAATTATTCATGATCAACTTCCTTTCCTAATACCCTACCCCCAGGGGAAATCGAATCCCCGCTGCCTCCTTGAAAGAGAGATGTCCTGAACCGCTAGACGATGGGGGCACATTTAGCTGACTATCAGCATACTATGAACATAGTATGCTGAGTTTTTTTGAAATTGTCAATATAATGAAATTGTATGATTCGATTGGAAAGAGACTTTCAAGGAGTGATTGGTCTCTCAGAAAACCAAGCCACCAAAGAGGTCGAAATACCATATTCGACCTCTTTTTTTCATTGAGTCACTCATTTTCTTGTTAACATATATTGTATATATACCATATATCGGTAGATGATATGTCTATCTCAAACTTAACCAGGAAATGAACAAATAAAAAATCTGGAAATCATGGAAGATAGATAAAATACCCAATTTTTTTTTAGAATTTGGTGTTTTCGTTTGGGTGACAACTCAAATTTTTTCATCAGTGATTCCTTTAAATATCTTGGGTCCAGGTCAATTTTGGAGGTACATATATTAATTAAATCAATTTGGTTAGGGTGGTGGTCAATTCAATTTGGTTTGGTCTTGATTGAAAGAATTAATTGGATTGATCTTTCATTTCACTAATTGTATTGATCTTCCCTTTCACTATCAATAAAGCATTTTTTCTTATATTCACTCGTCTGTTTCTTTAATACGCACTCGATAAACGCAGTTTTTCTATATGAATGGGCAATTTAAAATGGACCACTTTGTAAAGTTAGAAAACGAATCATTTTCTTTTAAGAATAAAAAATGGATTTGTTACTATAATTGTAGTAATTCTTTACTATAAATACTATAAAAAATAAATACTATAAAAAATACACTAGATGATTTACTATACTCATTACTCAACTCATTTTTCTCAATTTTTTACTTTTGACTATATGAATCTATATATATTAATCCATTTATATAATACATTTATATAATACATTTATATAATAATATATTATTATATAATATATACTAAGACATATTATTATATAATATATACTAAGACTATACTATAGATTATATAGAATCTATGTTTCGATAGTTAGATCCATAATTGACTTACCGAGCATAGGTATATCTTATCCGCCTAGTCGATAATTTAGGAAGTCCAATAAAAGAAAAAAGCCCCCTTAACTCAGCGGTAGAGTAACGCCATGGTAAGGCGTAAGTCATCGGTTCAAATCCGATATGGGGCTTTGGTCTTTCTTCAGAAAACGGATAGTATTCTTAATTTGATTTGAAGGGAGAATCAATCTATTGTATATACTTGATTGAGTTTTAATAAAATATCAAAAAATTCTTATTATTTTCAAATACAGGAAGAAACTCTAAAAAACATGCATTCTAACATTAGAAATGACTCAATTATTTAACTTTTTGGATGGGAATTTGAATAATTCCGTTTTATATATATATCAAAAAGAAATGAAAGAAAAAAGAAAAAAAAAAAAGACTTACTTATCCTCTAGAAAAAAAAACAAAGAAAAAAAAGATTGCCAGAGCACATAGGATAGAATCTACTTACTCAGATCAGATTCTAGTTAGGTGCTACACTGTTGGCAATCTGAATAGCTTGATAAATAGACAATGAAGAAAAGAAAAAACTTGACTAATAATAAAATGAAATCAGTCGAACCTCCCAACCGACGTTTAATAACTTTCCCATAGCCCAAAGAAAAACCTTTCCATCTTTTTAGACATTTTTATTGATATTTAGTGATCCCTACTAAACTAAAATTTCATTTATTTTTGTTTGTCTTTTTTAAAATCCCTTTTTCTTCATCTTCATTCTTACTTAATTAATTATCCAACAAAGGGTTCATTAATAGACCAGGTTATTATTCTATACATTTCTAATGTATAGAATAAGATATAATGTATAGAATAAGAACATAGATTTTCAAAAAATCTTCCAAATTTACGGCGACGAAGAATCGAATTTTCACTCTATTTATTCCTTTTTCTAGTTCTTTTTCCAAGTCAAGTGCAGAATAACCCCACGGGGTTACGGGTTTTTTTTACCAATTGGGGCCTTCCCTTCACCGCCCCCATGGGGATGGTCTACGGGGTTCATAACTCCTCCTCTTACTACAGGACGCTTACCTAACCAACATTTCGATCCGGCTTTACCAAACTTTTTAAGCTTTGCCCTAGTATTTCCTACTTGTCCGACTGTTGCTGAGCAGTTTTGGGATATTAAACGAACCTCTCCCGAAGGTAATTTTAATGCGGCCGATTTACCCTCTTTTGCAAGCAGTTTCGAGCGCTAGCTACATATAATGAGCTTAGCTTGGCAGCGCTCCGAATTAATCAGGCATCGAAGTAATATCTGCGTGCAGAATCCATATCTGCGGATATTGGGGATAGGCTTTGTTTGACAAAAGCGAGCTTAGCCTCAATATCCCGTAACTTAAAAAGGAATTCATAAGGGCATTTCCTCGTTTTTCCCAACTGAGCTAGAGAATTGGCTGTTCCTTGGATTTCCAACTCTACCCAAGGGTTGACAGGGAAAAGCTTGTCAAGACTCTCTCTCTCGTCCTTTCGGAACGTAAATTGTTCTACACCGTCCACCTCGGCCTGAATCTTCAATACGTGATTTGAAAAAGAATTTAAGGTACTTTTCCCTTGTTGGAGTTCCGGCCATACCTCTGCTAAACCAAATCTGACCGTATCTAGATGCTCTTTTGGTAAATTATAAATGGAATAAATAATTTCCATTTTCCGTATCCACGCCGTATCATTGCTCTGAATGAGATCGAGATAGTTCTCTAGGTTAACAAAGTTAACCTTACACCAAGCTACGAAATCCAGTGTTTTTCGTACACAGTGCATTGTTTCCGCGGCTTTCATGCTCTGTCTCCAAAACATCGAGTCTCTTTCTTCTTTAGAAGAAAACCCTAAAAATACGATTGTCGGACTTGTTTCAGAGATTGGACTCGGAAGGGATAGATTCGAGGTGCTCCAAGCCAACCTGTTAGTCAGCTGGTCTTCCTCGAAATACCTTTTGAGTCGATAATTTTTGTCAATCCGGAACTTGTCATGGATTAGGTTATCCATGTTTTGCATCTGTGCCACAATTTCTTTTATCTGTAAAAAATGAATTCTAAAAAACCTAGATTTGATTCGATCAAAGACTTTTCGATTATTGAAATTATCCATTTCATCTTTTAGTGACACAAGCTCTTGTAAAAAAAACTCCTCTGGGTCACTACCCGGACCCATAAATCGGTTGTTAATTTCCATGTGGCTCCCTCCCTTATTTATTCCATGTGGCTCCCTCCCTTATTTATAATATTTGATAAGCTCAATCTTTCGCTCAATCTTTCAACGATGAAAGAAAGTAAAGTTTTGAATTTATCTTTCAACGTTATTATATATTGGGTTATATTTAAATGCAATACAATATAGGACCGAAGACAGGTTCAATACTTTCTTTCACCTTTCTGTGACTTTCCAAACGGAATCGGCCAGTTACAACCAACAAAGAATAAGAAGAGATGAAAATTCTATAATTCTTCATTAGGATTGACTTTAGGGCTATACGGACTCGAACCGTAGACTCTCCCGGTAAAAGAGATAAAACTACCGGTAAAACAGATCAAACTGATGATTATCCAATTATTTATTCATTTTTTTAGAAGTTCTTAATGGCCCTATCAGTGTTAGGCCTTGAGTGACGATTGTTTATTCCCATTTAATTATGCTCCATATTATATACTCAATTAGAATCAAAAAAAAAAAGCATTTTTTATTTTAAAAATTTTATTTTAAAAATAAATAAAATTTAGCATTTTTTGCTCAAAATGCAAGTATTATCAATTAATATCAAGTAAAGATTCCCGGCCATATCTTCTTTAGGATTTTCTCTCGCTTTAAGAGAGTTTTTTTGATTTTTGAATCAATTACGACTTCATAGGATTTCAATGGGCTAATTAGAAAGGGTTGAAGGGTTGACGGGGATTCGACCCCGGAACTAGTATCCTAATATTAAGATATAAAAAAATCCAAATCGAAATCTTCATATTGAATATTAATCTGTTAAGATATTCATATCTTAATTAAAAAGTTAACAGTCTTTAAGACTCTTTTACGAGGATAATGAGAATTACCATTGAGAATGACTATTAGAATGAATATTCGCTAGAATTCATATAAGAATCGTCTAGACTTCGAGTTGATATGATTCAAAAAGTTGACTATTCATTTCTTATATTAACTATTCATTTCTTATATTAATAATACTATATTCTTCATTATCAATAATGTAAATAATGATAATATTCATAATCAAGACTGATAAGTTGGCTCCAAAATCACCCTATTTTCCTATTTGCCATTATTTTTATCAACTCAAATGAGATTCAAAATAAAAAAAAGTAAGTGGACCTAACCCATTGAATCGGGACTCTATTCACTATTATGATATTCAAATTGGATAGAGATGGAATTGAAAGAACAGACCCCGCCTTTTTCTTTCATATTTGATTGATTTTTTCTTTGGACTCCGAAAAAATCTTTCAATATTTCTGATTCAATCTTCTTATTCTTCGTTTTTCTAAAAGACTCAATTAAAAAATTCTTATTACCCTCCTTCATAGACTTCATAGAAAAGTTTCTTCGAAGTTACAACATAAGACATCTAAGAGAGTTGGAAATCATTTTCTTAGATTCAAGAATACAAGATCCATTTCGGTTTAGATGGATATTGCTATTTCTACCTGATATTGGTATTTAGACCTCAAAAAGAACTCTATCTATAAGATTTGTAGAATTAGATTTCTATAGGTATCAGAAGGTATCAGATTGATGAGTTATCAAAAAATTCATGTTTCCGACGGTAATTAAGACTAACTAAAGAAGAACCGAATTGAGTTCATGACTTTACGTCAGTCGGGTTCGGGGCCGATCAAGAATTTTGATTTCCGAACTTCATTAGACTCGAAGGGGAGCCGTGTAGGAGAAATCGAATTGTACATAAATGAGAAAAGCTTCAAAGGCCTCGAAAATGCTAAAATGCTATGAGGTGCTCAAAATGGTGCAAATAGTTGAATAGGAGGACCGCTATGACTATAGCCCTTGGAAAATTTACCAAAGAAGAAAATGATTTATTTGATATTATGGATGACTGGTTACGGAGGGACCGTTTTGTTTTTGTAGGTTGGTCCGGTCTATTGCTCTTTCCTTGTGCCTATTTTGCCTTAGGGGGTTGGTTTACGGGTACAACCTTTGTAACCTCATGGTATACTCATGGATTGGCTAGTTCCTACTTGGAGGGTTGCAACTTTTTAACTGCCGCAGTTTCTACGCCTGCTAATAGTTTAGCACATTCTTTGTTATTCCTATGGGGTCCTGAAGCACAAGGTGATTTTACTCGGTGGTGTCAATTAGGTGGTCTGTGGACTTTTGTTGCTCTCCACGGGGCTTTTGGACTAATCGGTTTTATGTTACGTCAATTTGAGCTTGCTCGATCTGTGCAATTGCGACCTTATAATGCGATCGCATTCTCTGGTCCAATTGCAGTTTTTGTTTCTGTATTCCTGATTTATCCCCTAGGCCAGTCTGGTTGGTTCTTTGCGCCTAGTTTTGGTGTAGCAGCTATTTTTCGATTCATCCTCTTTTTTCAAGGGTTTCATAATTGGACACTGAACCCCTTTCATATGATGGGAGTTGCCGGTGTCTTAGGTGCTGCTCTGCTATGTGCTATTCATGGTGCTACTGTCGAAAATACTTTATTTGAAGATGGTGATGGTGCAAATACATTCCGGGCTTTTAACCCAACTCAAGCCGAAGAGACTTATTCTATGGTCACTGCTAACCGATTTTGGTCCCAAATCTTTGGGGTTGCTTTTTCCAATAAACGTTGGTTACATTTCTTTATGTTATTTGTACCAGTAACCGGTTTATGGATGAGCGCTCTTGGAGTAGTCGGTTTGGCTCTGAACCTTCGTGCCTATGACTTTGTTTCTCAGGAAATCCGTGCAGCGGAAGATCCTGAATTTGAGACTTTCTACACGAAAAATATTCTCTTAAACGAAGGTATTCGTGCTTGGATGGCAGCTCAAGATCAGCCTCATGAAAACCTTATATTCCCTGAGGAGGTTCTACCCCGTGGAAACGCTCTTTAATGGAACTTTAGCTTTAGCTGGTCGTGACCAAGAAACTACGGGTTTCGCTTGGTGGGCTGGGAATGCCCGACTTATCAATTTATCTGGTAAACTGCTAGGAGCTCATGTAGCTCATGCTGGCTTAATCGTATTCTGGGCCGGAGCAATGAACTTATTTGAAGTGGCTCATTTCGTACCGGAGAAACCAATGTATGAACAAGGATTCATTTTACTTCCCCACCTAGCTACTCTAGGTTGGGGGGTAGGTCCCGGCGGGGAAGTTCTAGACACCTTTCCATACTTTGTCTCGGGCGTACTTCACTTAATTTCCTCTGCAGTATTGGGGTTTGGTGGTATTTTTCATGCACTTCTAGGACCTGAGACTCTTGAAGAATCTTTTCCTTTTTTTGGTTATGTATGGAAAGATAGAAATAAAATGACAACAATTTTAGGCATTCACCTAATATTGTTAGGTATAGGTGCTTTTCTATTAGTATTTAAATCTCTTTATTTTGGGGGCGTATATGATACCTGGGCTCCGGGGGGCGGAGATGTAAGAAAAATTACCAACTTGACCCTTAGTCCAAGCGTTATTTTTGGTTATTTACTCAAATCTCCCTTTGGGGGAGAAGGGTGGATTGTTAGTGTGGACGATTTGGAAGATCTAATTGGAGGCCATGTATGGTTAGGTTCCATTTGTATACTGGGTGGAATCTGGCATATATTAACCAAACCTTTTGCATGGGCTCGTCGTGCATTTGTCTGGTCCGGGGAAGCTTACTTGTCTTATAGTTTAGGTGCTTTATCGGTTTTTGGTTTCATTGCTTGTTGTTTTGTATGGTTCAATAATACTGCTTATCCTAGTGAGTTTTATGGTCCTACTGGACCAGAAGCTTCTCAAGCTCAAGCTTTTACTTTTCTAGTTCGAGACCAACGTCTTGGGGCTAACGTCGGATCTGCTCAAGGCCCTACTGGTTTAGGTAAGTATCTAATGCGTTCGCCCACAGGAGAAGTTATTTTTGGAGGCGAAACGATGCGTTTTTGGGATCTTCGGGCTCCGTGGTTAGAACCTTTAAGAGGTCCAAATGGTTTGGACTTGAGTAGGTTGAAAAAAGACATACAACCTTGGCAAGAACGGCGTTCTGCGGAATATATGACCCATGCGCCTTTAGGTTCGTTAAATTCTGTAGGTGGGGTAGCTACGGAGATCAATGCAGTCAATTATGTCTCTCCTAGAAGTTGGTTAGCGACTTCTCATTTTGTTCTAGGATTCTTCTTTTTCGTAGGCCATTTATGGCACGCGGGAAGGTCTCGTGCAGCTGCAGCAGGATTTGAAAAAGGAATTGATCGCGATTTTGAACCTGTTCTTTCTATGACTCCTCTTAATTAACTGAGACAAAAGATACAATACTTTAAGGAGCAATCAATTGGATTCTACAATACCTATTGATTGGCTAGATCAAGTCATAATTAACTTCATTCTAAAGTCTTTCTTTTTCTGTCCGATTTTTTAAATTCGATCTAATCTTTTTTTAGGTATGGCTCGGCTAGGTGGGAAAGCCGAGCCATTCCCCTTTATAATACTAGACTGCTCAAAATGAATCAAACTAATAAAGACATAAATCTAGTCACCGGGAAAAGGAGAGAGAGGGATTCGAACCCTCGATAGTTCGTCTCAAAGAACTATACCGATTTTCAAGACCGGAGCTATCAACCACTCAGCCATCTCTCCCGAATAAACTGTAATTTCTAGTTTATTCTTTTTTCTTTTTTATGCAATAAAAAAAGAATCTAAGCATAAAAGGCATAAAAGTTGCGCCTCTCGCTGTAGGATAGAAAGCTAGTCTAGAAAGATATTCGGTGTGATTCAATGGCTCTATTCTATCTAAATAGAACTCTTTTATCTAAATAGAAATGTAGGATTTCATCTGAACATTTCCGAAGTGAAGGAAAAAACGACTCTCGGCCTCCTATTCTAATTTCGAATAAGGTGAGCAAGAAGTGATAATAATCTAGAATCACTAGAATCACTAGATTCGGGGTAGAATCCACCAGGATATGATGCGGTTTTTTTTTTTACAATTTTTGACTTCTAAAATCAAATGGTAGAGTACTTTTGTTAGTATGGAGGATTAGAAAGATGACTATTGCTTTCCAATTAGCTGTTTTTGCATTAATTGCTACTTCATCCATTTTATTGATTAGTGTCCCCGTTGTTTTTTCTTCTCCAGAGGGTTGGTCAAGTAAAAAAAATGTTGTATTTTCCGGCACATCATTATGGATTGGATTAGTCTTTCTAGTGGGTATCCTTAATTCTTTCATCTCTTAAACCTATTTTCGAATTTGCGAAAAATAAAAATTTTTCAAGCTAACAAGCTAAAAAGGCCCCCGCATTATTTCGGGTTGCGAGACACCTTCCATACACTTCAATACACAATAAGGGTCAATAGAAGTCTCCAAAATAAGAAGTCTCCAAAATACCAAATACAAATAAAGAAAAGAATAAATTGAAATTTGAGGAAGGGGTCAACTTGTTTTGTAATTTTGCAATGTCATTAAATGGAAAGTTAAATAGAATGAGATAGGATAAAAAAAGATTCTATCTTTGAAAAAATGATAGAAATAGCCTCTCAATCAGAATTTGAGAATTCTTTTCGTATTCTATATCTAATTTCTTTTTATTCATCTAATTTGTTTTTTCTTTCTAATTGCTTTTTTTATTACATCTTTGATTCCATAATTCAAATTAGAAATTTGATTCTATTATAAGAATTCTATTCTTATTAGAATCTATAAGATATTCTATAGTCTAAATAGATTATAGAAATAGATTATAGAAGTCTAAATAGATTGATTATAGAGTCTAATATTTATATATTAGAGATAGATAATTCTATCTCTATTCTGTACTATGCTACATCTATCGAATAGGAATTCCCCCAGAAATAATATCTGGCATAGCTGTTCACATCACAAATATGATCCAGGCATTTCAAGAAAAAAAAATGCGGATGCGGATATAGTCGAATGGTAAAATTTCTCTTTGCCAAGGAGAAGACGCGGGTTCGATTCCCGCTATCCGCCCAAGGTACTTTATTTAGGTTAGGTACTTTTTGAAATTTACAAAAAAAAAAGTGGTGTTGCGGAGCGGAGACGGGATTTGAACCCGTGACCTCAAGGTTATGAGCCTTGCGAGCTACCAAGCTGCTCTACACCGCAGAAAAACTGGAAACTTATGGATAAAGAAGAATTGAATGTACCCCCTACCCTAATTTGTATAAATAACATAACGCATTTATACAGAATGGTCAAGGGGCTCCGTCTATGACTATGATCATCGCTCATAACACTAAAATAACTAGAGAAAAAAAAAAAAAAGAATTTTCTAATTTTTACGAACTCGATCTTATGGCTCCCGGCAACAAACCTGCATGAAACATTTCACGAAGTCTGTATCCGGATAGCCCAAAGTCTCGATAGTGAGTTCTCGTTCTTCCAGTTTCAAAACACCGCCGGCGAAGACGGGTCGGTGCACTATTTCTCGGTGAGGATTGTAACTTTCCATGAATTTCCGACTTATCAATCGACGATGAATCTTTGCTTAGTTCGTTTTTTAAGGATCGACGAATCAAATGATATTTTTGTTCCAATTTTTGTTTCTTTTTCTCCCTCTGAATCGAACTTTTACTTGCCATAATATTTCACTTCCTATTAAGTATTGCTGATACAAGTCGAATCTTAGATGTAGAAATATAAAAAAAGGATTTAACCAAATTTGCCCGAGGTAGAGGCAATCAAGAAAGCTGCATAAGTGAAAATATAACCTACAGAAAAGTGGGCTAATCCAACCAATCTTGCTTGCACAATGGAAAGAGCTACGGGTTTATCTCTCCATCGAATCAAATTAGCCAAGGGTGTACGTTCATGAGCCCATGCTAACGTTTCAATCAATTCCTGCCAATATCCCCTCCAGGAAATTAAAAACATAAATCCAGTAGCCCAAACCAAATGTCCAAATAAGAACATCCATGCCCAAACCGATAAACTATTCATACCAAACGGGTTATACCCGTTGATAAGTTGTGAAGAGTTTAACCATAAATAATCTCTTAACCATCCCATCAAATAAGTCGAAGATTCATTAAACTGTGAAACGTTACCCTGCCATAATGTGATATGTTTCCAATGCCAATAGAAAGTAACCCACCCAATAGTATTTAACATCCAGAAAATTGCCAAATAAAATGCGTCCCAAGCGGAAATATCACAAGTACCCCCCCGTCCTGGCCCATCGCAAGGAAAACTATAACCAAAATCCTTTTTATCTGGCATTAACTTAGAACCACGTGCATCTAAAGCACCTTTTACTAAGATCAATGTAGTTGTATGTAACCCTAGAGCAATAGCATGATGAACCAAGAAGTCTCCTGGCCCTATTGTTAAGAACAATGAATTCTTATTTTCATTAATAGCATTTAACCAGCCGGGCAGCCATATGCTTCGGCCCGCATTAAAGGCTGGACTTTTCGTTGAAGATAAAAGTACATCGAATCCATATGCAGTTTTACCATGAGCAGATTGTATCCATTGGGCAAATATGGGTTCGATCAAGATTTGTTTCTCCGGAGTCCCAAAAGCAAGCATGACATCATTATGAACATAAAGTCCCAAAGTGTGGAATCCTAGAAAGAGACTGGCCCAACTTAAATGGGAGATGATAGCTTCTTTATGGTCTATCATTCTTGCTAATAC